TTTTTTTTTTATTCATAAAACCAGCAAGTTCATTGTGCACTGCAGTTTATTCACATTTGTAACACTATTCGCGCTCCGTTTGGACGGTTATATAGGTAAGATCTCTTAAAGCTAATAACAGACATTATCTGAAGATGAGCTCTTCTTTCTTAGATTGGCCGTATTGGGCTATCTTTACACCACTATGGATTTGGAAAGGAATCGCTGTGTTAGGAGCGGCAGTCGGAGCTGTAGTTTGGTGCCGATACCCACATTATCGGTAGTGCTTTTAGTCTTCCTATTCTGTGTTACTTGTTCTTCATTATGTTCTTAATGTTTAGACTTGAAGGGGACTCATATACTCAATTCAAAGCTATGCTTATTTCTCTTTCGCTGCATCTCATATTACTTATGTTTGAGCTACTCGCTTGCGACAAACTCAGCTCAGGACGTCATCTATGGGTATTAGTGTTCATACCGTTGATTTTTGGCTCAGTGGCCAGCGTGGGCGCTTGCGTTTGGGCTGTTAAACATGACCGTTCTTTTGAACTGGAGCTATTTTTAGCAGTTAATGCATTGCAGTTCGTCTCATTACCTCTTAAATTAGACCAATTCGTATACTGGAATTGGGAAGTTGTGTTTGTCCCCATGTGGATTGTGATCTGTCTGAGCTTAGTCAGTAAGTTTTAAGCATTGAAAATTATTCTAAACAAATTTTAGTAAATGGAAACGTTTCAGGTGTGCTTTACAATGTAATCTTTTGCGGTATTATGATGCGTACACCAGAGATATCACTGCAACAAAAGAAGGCTGCACTCAATGCAGCGGTGGGAAATATTTGCACCGTCTTGCCATTGCTCTGTTTTCAAGTATGACGTATAATTTATAAATTTCTTTATATGTATCTAGATTCAACTCGTATCTCGTATTTATTTTTTTAGGTGGTGATTTGTGATAAGCTGGAAGGGGAACTGAAGTTTCCCTATATTGTTGTGTTCAGCCCATTGATGGTATCTATCTTCGCATTGATTGTATTGAGCTTTAGTGCAAAGGGTGGAAACAAATGGTGGTTTGGCATACGCAAATCTTTCAGTCAGTTTCTTCTCTCGGCTATGCCTTTCCTACAAGAATACGGCAATATATCTTATCACACTGATCGGTCTGCGGCTGCTCAATCTGTTCCTCTGGACACCTCTACCAGCACCTTGCATATGGGCGACTTTAATAAGCATGACAAGAAAAGCAAAAAGGGAGCTAAGAATGATAGTATGAAGCCGGTTGTGCCCATCATCAGTATTGATATGCCCGATTAAGTAAATTGCCCAAAAAACAATGCGCTTCAACATAGCTACTCTAGCTAAGCTTGAGGGAACTGAAACTATTACAATTTAAATTATATATACACATATAGGTACATAAGTAAATAATGATGCTATAGGTATATACATAAATAATAATGCTATAGCGTAGATTATCATTATTTAAGCAATTTTGTTTAAACCTACGGATTTTGCAGAAATTATTAGATAATAACTCAAAAAAGCACACTTTTACACTTACATTTAACTTTGTAGGTTTATTTTAAAATCTCAAACCACACGTTAGTATTCGTATATCATACCACATTTAAGTTAAATGCATTTTATATTTTTAAAGAATTTTATTTTATTTCACCTCTAACATGTGCATGAATAATTTAAAAAATATATGTATATAAAATAAAATTAATATATGTATACACACGCACATGTACATACGTGTATATTAAATCAGGCGCTTTCTTCAATAAAGTTAAATACATTCTTTAAACTACGTGCTCATTCTGATATGTATACACATAGATTTGTTTTCGTATGGAACAGCAGCTTATTTCGAAAGGCTGGCTTTAGTTTAATGCGGCACTTGCAGCATGCGATTGCGAATGACTGACTAGCGCCAAAACTTTTGGCAAATAAAAGTGCAGAAATCGTTCCCATACTAACAAGTCAATGTTCTTATTAAGTCTCACCAAAAAATTCCTTGTGGTTTAAGGAATAAAGGGAATGCCGCATTATACTATAGCCATCTTCCCGATATAAGCTACTATTCCATACGAACACAGAGATATACATACATATATATGTATGTATGCATATATAAGTTGATAAAATAATGTCTATTTTACAGTTATAGTTTTTGATAAATAGTTCCTGAGATATATTTTACTAAGTGATTAAAGATACATACATAATTGCCATATTAGTAGATATTTAAATATGCGGAATAGCGAACGTCCTTATACCATGTTCTGACCGACAACGAAAACACTTTGAAAACAAGTTTTGGGCTTGTGGGCTGAAAGCTGTTCACACCGGTTGTTAGTGCTTTCGTTGACATTTCTTACATATTTTGTGATTACAGTTTTGCTACATAAAAACAAAACCAAAACACTTTTTCTTTTCATTTAAAAATGATAAAATATGACTTCCACTTCGATAGATAATCGAAAAAAAAACTAGTGAAACTAGTGCTCAAGTAGTTTTCAGCGAAAACTTTCTTTCATTTGACAGATTTTACATGGACGAAAACACAAGTTTTAGGTCGAAAACCAGTTCTAGCAACGAAAACATGTTTTCGATCTCGGTCAGAACATGGTATTACATAAATTCCATTTTTGGTGTGGTGAAATATTAAATACTTCACAATTTGAGCACTTAGGCGATTGTAATAGATTTGCTATGCAGAATGTGAAATTGCAACCCTGTATTTCGGTCGCCGCATACAAAGCTGAAAATTTTCTTTCTTGCAGGCGTTTCTTGAAATCGATCAATAAAAAGCTAAGTTTTCAGAAAAATTCTGTGCAAACAGCCAAATTAACTGAAACAGCATAGAATATAGGTTTATTCTGACTTACTTAATATTCTTATGTTATTAGATTTTGCATAAAGTTAGCAAAAAGGTTTCAGATTAACTTTTGCCGGAACGCTGCATAAGCAGGATTTTAAAGACAAGTGAGTAACATTTTGTGTGAATTTGTGAAAAAATGAATATCACTGCGGGTGAACCAGTACCACCTGGTTTCGAAGACGAAGTCAATCGGGAGCCAGAAATTCAAAAAGCGATTGACCAATATAAAGGCAATGCTCTTGTCGGACTTGAATATACACTGGAGCTACACGAAGAAGATCGTCATGAGCCAGGCTACTTTTGCATTCTTTGTGACAAGCGTGGTGATCCACGTACAATTATGCAACATTGGACATCTTACAACCACCGATTGAAATATCTAGAGAAGCATTTTCCAACGGCGGTACACGAATTCAATCCCATCAAGTACAAGCCGAATTCGCAGCAGATTCTCTTGGCCGTGGTTCAGAAATTAGCAAAGGCTATTGAGGACCATCATGGCCGTTTGCATTTGACAGTAGCAAACATTGATGACTTTCGTCGTATGAAGGCCAAATTCGTTGGCGAAATCAATAATAAATACCATTTTGATGAAAGGAACGGACCTAATTTCCTAGAGACTATTGATCGCTCTCTTTGGGAACCGAACCCGGCCCCGAACCCTATAAAAAATATGGACCAGACATTGCAGATAACTATTAAAGCACCTAAGCGTATAACAAATGAGGAAACACCAACAAAATCCACTAACCGTGATGATTTGGATGAAATTTCCAGTGACTCGGATGGGCAATCAAGTTCTAAAAAAACAAAGAAAAGGGAGCAATCGCCAGCATATCGAGTATTGCCAAGAGTTCGACGTTCGCCACCTTTCGAAGAGGAACGAAGTGATGAACGTAAGGATGCTGATAAGAAATTGCCGACACCACGGGAATTATCCCTGCAAGCCTCTCACATTGCACAAGAGAAATATAAATGGGAAAAATACAGATGTATGCTTGAAATACAGCTAAGGCAAATGGAAAAAATTCAACAGGACTATGATAAAAATCCGGAAAAACATCCATTGTATCCCGAAGAATGGAAAAAGTTCTGGAATCGGCGGTATAAGGAGTTGCAAGCTGAAAAGAAGACCGATCCTAATAAATATGATTACAAACCGGAATGGATCGCATTCTGGACAAAGCGTATGAAGGATTTATTTAACGTTGAGGTTGAAAAGAAGAAAAAAGAAATAAAAGTGAAACTTGGTCTGCCTGAAGATGCCGAAGAAAAAGTAGATCAACTGAAAGAAAAGTATAAGGTGCAAATAGGACGTAATGCAACCGCTATTACATCTGGTGGTCATATTTTAGGACCCAAAGTTTCGGACAGAAACGTTGAACCTGCTCCCAAGCGTTCTAAAAACCTAGGTGATGTTATAAACATCAGTGATGACGAATCTCCGGTGCGACGTCGACCTCGTCGTACCCGTACGCGATCTCGTTCTCGTTCTGCTTCGCACCCGCGATCTCGCCCGCGTCGTTCCCGTTCTAGATCGCGTGGTCGTGACTATAAACGATCGCGTGACCGATCCACTTCATTGTCTAAAAGTCCGGTATCTGATGATTATAACCCCTATCCCGTGCAACCTCATCCCCATCGTCATCGTCATCACCCAAGAAGTTACGTCCCACCAGTTGAAAGTGATTATTTTAGCTCATCATATCCACCTCGCAGTAGATTTGCTCCCGCTCCAACTTCATCGCATTATGGTGCGACTACTCATTACAGAGTACTAGAACCTCATCAATATCCAAAATATGAACGTTCTCCATCACCAAACTCGAAATCGGCACCAGCAAAGGAAGAACCGGAACCGGAGGATGAGGGCCCGCTTACTGTGGTAGCAGTGCTGCGCTTACTCACAGCTCTTGAGGATCATCTGGGCAGCCTCGGTCCGAAGGTAGTCGACTTACTTGGAAAAGCTTTGGCACTGGAGAAAGTAAAGGCCAACTCGGCAGATGATTTGTTGTTGAACGATGACCATGTTGTGTTCTTTGAAACTATTAAAGAGAAATTAAAAGGCATCTTAATTGCTGATGTTCTCGATGATCAACAAAAAGTGCGAGCCGTTAAAAAAGCTATCAGAAATATTGCCGCTGCCGTTCATCAGGTTACCACAAAAGGTAAGTACCAACATTTTAAAACAGTAAGTATTAAATCGTAATTGTAAGCTAGTTAATTGATAACTAGGTCTAAGTTATATATTTCACACAAAATGTACGTAGTATGTAATAATATGTATGGATATTGTTTATTTATTTGTGATCCAACATTCTTAAGGGGTTTCGGTACTTCAAGATAATTAAGATAAGTGCATTGTAAAGAAGGGGTTTGGGCGGTGAGAAAAGAATGTTAAATTCGTACACCAAATATTCAGGTGTTCTTTAATATAAAAGTGACGCAATTTGTGTTTATTCGTTATTCTACAAATAGCACAAAACCTAAAATGAAATGCGCGTATTCGAACTGCGTCGATCGGATTTTTGTGATGTTACGTTTAAAAGAGAATAAGGGATCATTAGCATGCGAAATTTCTATTTCCTGTTAAGGAATATAGAATCGTAAAGATGGTTGGGGTGGTGCATAGGCCCGTAGTCATAAATAAATTACTGGCAGGCTTTAGCATTTAAAACCGTAATTTAAGTTAAAACATGATTTTAACTATACAATCATCGACTTAAAACACGTGATTCCGCTTAAAAGGCGTTCTAAGTTTAAATGAAGTGAACGAGATTTAAAAATATGAAAAGGACGCTATAAATTTATGTTTTGCTTTCAAAAGCTGCAAAAAATTTAAGTGTTCCTTATCTTCAAAAATTTAAAAAGTGGCTAATATGCTTCACAATCAAGTAATGTTCGAGTTTTTGGGTTCTTGGATGATGGATTTGCCACCAAGGGCCCGTTTCTGAAGAGATGCAAGTGTGTGTTTTTGAAAAGTACAAGTATTGTTTTCAGAAACGCAAACTTGTGAAAAATTGCTATTTACAAGCAGACCACTTTTATTAGAACCGTTGTATCTTTTCCGAAACGGGCTCCACAAAAAGGAAGTAGAGGAGTGTTGAGTGTTTTTATTCGCGATAACACTTCGGATTTGTTGTTGTACTCAAACTGTTTTGGGAAATGTTGCTGATAAGAGAGCCCTTTATTATTGTTTGTATATTAAGTTATATAAAATATAAAAAATTTTATTTACTTTTATTTTGCTACCCCATATTCTACAGACTGTATGCCAGTGAAATTCAGCTGGAACAGGTTGAAGTTATTATTATGGTCATATTTCTTAAGAGTGTTTAGGTATTTTTTTTTGTTATTTGATGACTGACTGTTTAGCCTCATTCTAGGAAAAATTTGAATTTCTACTCGTAAGCTAACGTTTAGATAGAATGTGTTTTTTTTAACTTACGATTATGACTTCGGGCCAAACATTTTTATTACTCATGAAAATACTAAAAATATGATATTCTTTTACTGATGTTATATGAAAGTGTGAAATTATTTTATTCCATTTTCGTTTCTTCTCTTTTTTTGTAAGCAATCGGGGCTTTACAAAAATATTGTACCTTTATACCTTTTTCGTACCTCAAATTCGATTTCTTTGTACCAACTTCGTGAATTCGTACCAAAGTTCTAAGTGTGAGTGAAAATATATATTGTGCTGAAACGAAGCAAATTGTACAAAAGTTGTATATGGGCCTATTGCGAAGTAAACAGGAGTAAACGCTAATATTTTCATCATGTACTTTTTCCCCCATTTTAGCTTGTAAATATTGATTGTATTTTCGTATTTATACGCCCACCTAGGTAACTCATCAAATAAGGTAAACTCCTCTGAGTCGGCAAAAAGTAACGATAACGGCGAAGCAGCCAAGAATGTGAAGTTGTCCGAGAAGGTCAGTGTTAAGGACTTACCGTTTGACCGTCAAGTTGTGTCGACGAAATTGGCTGCCGCATTAGTATTTCAAGGCCGTGAAGATGTGTCCACAGAAGATATGGATAAGTTGATTTATCTATTTATTTTGTTGGTAAAATTATCTAAAGAAAAACAAGAAGTTGACGGTAAAGGCTTGCAGCTCGGAGCTGTATTATCAACGTTGGGCATATATGTACCAGATTCTGCCACTTCTACTGCGTTGGCCGCTTTGCCAGCTCTTGTAGAAGAGCTAATGGAAAATGATGCTAATGGTATCTCTGCTCATTCCAACATTATTGAGGATGATGCATCGAATGAAACTCCCGATAAAGATTCAAAGAATGACTCTGGCGGCAATATGCTAGAATCTCTGACCGACTCCGACTTACAAACATTGCTGCAGAACTTTAAACATTTGTCCAGTGAAGAACAGCACCATCTAATAGCACATCTAAAGAAACTAGAAACTGCAGATCCCTTACGGGTTGAGAAATTGCGAAAGTTTGTTAATTTAGCTGATGTGGCTGGAGTTTCTTCATCGTCTCCAGTAGCTAGCACAAGTAAGTCGAATACGAGAGAGAGATCGCGCACTCGCGATAGTCGCTTTGATGACTCACCTATTGTCAGCAATAGCAAAAGTCGGGGTTACAATTCGGATGAAGATATTGATGAACGTCAACGTGGTGTCAGCGTTTCCAATCCAAATAAATTTAGCCTAGATGATGAAGACGAAGATGACGATTATAATGTAGACGATGTATTCAAGGCTGCATTCCGCAAGGTGAGTGACAACTCACGTCAATCTAAGCCCGAATACAAAAACTCAAATGAGACCAGTTCATCGCGGCCGCAAATAAAGCCGGTGCCAGAGCCTGTAATCCCGGTATCATCATCGCCAAATGCATTAACATTTAATCGCGCTGGTTTAAATATATCCTTAAGCGATACACAAAATTTGATTGCCAATCTGATGGGTTCACTTCAACAGAGTAATTCTAATCAAAAAGCTAACCTAAACTCGGCGCCGTCAAAAGAGGGACAACAAATACCGACAAGATCAAATGTAGCTCCGCAGCCTCCTAAAACTCAAAAAATTCCACCACAGGCCTCACAGCAGCAACAGCAGCATCCAGTTTTGCCACCGCCTAACATGCCTTACTACCAGCAGGGCCAGCAACCACCACCAGCACAAGCACAACAACCTTACCCTGGTGGGGCCGGGTTCAATCAAATGACTGGTATGAATAATCAGGCATATTATAACTCAATGGGCTACAATAACAATAACGGAGGAGTCGGATACCCTGGCTATCAGCCCTGGGGCATGGGAGACTCGCACCAATACGGTATGCAAAACTTTATGGGCCAACAACAGCCGCCGCAGCAGGGCCCCCAACAGCATATGGGCTATAACATGTATGGTCAGCAAGGTCCACACTAATAAACATATAATTGGAGAACAAGCGGTTGTGTGGGTATGTATTTAAATGTACATATGTAAACAAGCTACTTTTAAATACAGTTAAAATTTTCGTTGTTTGTATGTTCTTTCAGAATATAACATTAAATGGCCGAAAACACAGCCCTTGTGGGAGTTTAAGTCTAAAACTTAATATAAAATATTCGAGTGAAAAATACAACTTGCTAAAAATCTTGTTTTACAATAAAGGGTTAACTTTTTTCGAAGCAAAACATGCTCGTTAGGAATATGTTTCTATGTAACGTATGTATGTACGTATGTAAATTCATATGCGGAAAATGTTTGCGTTGATTTGCAGTTACATTTACCCAGGTAAGAACAAATCTTAGAAAAAAACTAAACTAAGTTGGAGAGTTCGGAAATGGTTTCAATTTCGCAACCATATGTTTAAAAGATCCTTTCGTTTAATTCAGAAATTAGATTGGTCCACAAATTCAAATTGCAGTGGACAAGTGAATTCACGCCATACCACCGAATTAGTCTGGCAGTTCTGTAATTCACTTCCGAAGGAATTGCAACAGGAGTCAATTTGAATTGAAATCGAATTTGGTTGAAATTCTCTCGGAAGTAAATTGCAGAATCTGCCTGATTAGAATTTTTAGATGTCATATTCGCTAGCATTGTGCTCCGTATCTCGAAAATATCTATAATTATATTATAGATAGCTAAAAGTGAAAATATTGAAACGTATGTGAAATATTTGGGGGCAAAATCCGTTATGGGAGCAGCTTCACAAACGTTAGTGTCCACTTGTTTTTGCAAAGAAGCTTGAACCTTGCGTGGGTAATAATAGTGTCTTACAGAATATAATTTCAAGACGCTCATTAAACTTCTGTGAAAATGGAAAAAAAAATTACAAAAGTATCATTCACTAAAAAATAATGTTAAATATTAATGTCTGCAAATGGCTGTATTATCTTTCTGTTTATATATACTTGATACAACTTTTATGCTTTTAAAGCTCCGATAAAGTGAGCACGGCTGTTGTAAAGGCTTTGTCTCAAAATGATTAAATAAACAGACGTAGGTACATTTTTTTGGATTGGAGCTGAAATATTTGTTTTTGAAGCAAATATATAATTAATATTTAAACCATAATGGACAAAATGTTGGATTACATTCGTGGGTAAGTATTAAAAGAAATTAACAATTACAACATTTTTAATTTAAAACTCATTTTATAACTAAGAAATTTCTATGTATACATATGAATTTATGTCCAATAGTATAAGGTAATTTTTTTAATTAATCTTACAGACTTAACTTTCAACAAAGTTCCATATTACATTAAATACATATAGATTTTAAAAGGTAAAGTTTAAAATCGTATTTATTATCACTAAATTTGAAAAGTGAGGCGTGGGCACTGCAATCGTGTAATCCAGGTTATTACTTCATTATATACATGGAACCCAGTAAGAACCCTATCTGTTAACGAATAAGTTATATACGCCTAGTACTACAAATAGTTTGTGTGAGAAATTCAAAAACTTTCCATCATTTTACATAGGGCCCCTGGAGAAATCTAATGCATAATCGTTTCACGTGTGAGCAGTTTTCTCTTTCTTTTATATGGAATTCGCTATTATATTATTATATATATAGTGGTCTCTTTTCAATCAAAGATTATTATGCGATTAATAACGTGTTATATAACGCAAACAATGGCATATGGATATCTCTAATATGCAAATGTGTTGGTTTTCATTGACAATTTTGTAAGTGTATTGGAGAATGCGTTAGGTCGTTCTTGCAGGGTTCTTGCTGGGAAGGTTCTGTATGTAAAGAAATATTTGGCCCCTTCATGGCGTGTGTCTTGATGTTACGGAAGCGGAGGGCCATACAGTTTGACGTCGCGATAATTATTAGAATGAAATCCATAGTCGCGGCGTTATTGCTTGAAGAGGGGGACGAGTCCCAGATTGCTGATGCGGAAGCTGAAAGGCGGAGATTTAGGGACATATTTGATCTTTTTCAGATGAGTGAAGAATCATAAGGAATTCATCTTGAACTGTATTACTCATCGCTTAAAGTCAGTGAAATTATAAACGTTGTTTGAGCACTCCACAACATTTGCATTTACTACAGAGTGGAAGATTTCAACGCAAATGAATTCCATTTTGAAAGCCGTCAGGAGGAGGGGAAGAACAAAGCTTATCCTTCCATATCAAATCGAATTCGAGACAACATACACACCTCTTTTTAAAAAGTTAGTAAAAACGAGTGCAATAATAAAAACATCTTTTTTATGTAACTTCACATTTTATGTATGTATGTATGTATGTATGTACATTTGTACATCTATAAATTTTATACAAAAAGAATAAATTGTATTCAGTGCATACTTATTTATAGATAATGAAAACAAAAACGCCTGGACTTCCTCTTTGAAAACCTCGCGCAATATCCCTTTTGGTTGCCATTATTTGATGGCTTTTACAATCATGCACAGTATATTTTACTTGATTTTGTTAATAAAATTTTATTATTTAAACCCACGAAAATAATCGATACGTTGTCCGTCAGCAAATTTGCAAGTTAGAAAAACAGAACTACGATCGAAATATAGAATAGGTATAATCGTAAATTTCGAAGATTGATTGAAAGGAAACGGAACGCAGAATACCAAACTTGCCAAACGGAGAAAATTTCGATTCGAATGCAGAATAAGGCTGAATATTAAGTTAAAACATATATAAACTGCTTTATATAGCTGAAAAAAGTGATCACGAAACATAACCTTTCCTTAAGATGTGAGAATAACAAGCACAAAAAATTTTACGGCTAATAATCTGAGATTTGCTTGTTGGATTAAGAATGTGTGAATGGGGTAATTCGCGATCGTAATTGGGCGAGCGAACAAAGTAATTCAGGATTTCGTAGGAAAATGGTATTAACCAGCTATAGCTATACGAAACATCATAAGAGATATACAGCAGGTGGTATACGAAGTAAAGTAGGAGATATCCCATTTGAACGATGTTCACACACAACCGTAAAAAAATACAACCGAACTCGGTATTCGCTAATTTATTCTAATGTATTTTGTTTATGTAAAATAGTGTTCAACAAACAAAATACATGGAAAAAATTACCGAAGACCGAGTGCCAAGCTTAGATGTGAAGACCCATAATTAATTCTGAAAATTTTTCACCACGAGGATTTTATTAGACAAAGGTTTAGTACTAGTTTTAACTTCGCTCGTAACATCTATTACTTTTTTCGCGTCTGTGTGTACATTTTACAAAACTGTTTTGCCGGCGTTGAAAACGGGGGGAAAGCTATGTATGGGAATGTGTTAAATTGCGAAAATTATCAAAACAATGCGATAACATGTATGTAATGGGTGTTCTTTAATTTTAAATCTATTGAATTTGAACTAAAGGAATGAAGGGGAAGGGCAGCACCAAAAAAATGAAACACGACGCTATTGCAACACCACCGCACATAGAGGATGAGGTTGAGAACGTTGAATATTTAGAGGAGTGTGTCACAGATGACATCGAAGAGGTCGATGAAAACTCGGCGGCCCATCGTTCCGCTGACATGGAAATTATATTTAAGGACACATTTTACCCAAATGCGGTGCAATGCCTCCTAACACTGTATCGCCACAAATACGACCAACAAATGAATGACCGACATGATGTACAAACTATGTATAACAGTATTTGGGACGATATTTCAAAAGATATGAGTGAGAGCTATTTTCAATTTAATGCCGATCAAGTTAAGCATAAATTCACACAACTTCGCCAGCAGTACTTTGCTGTATCGTCTAAAACGGAAGCTGAGAAATTTGAGTACTTTCATTACTTCCATGACATGTACGGTGATAAAGTCATTTCGGTATTACTGGGTGGCGATTCTACACCAGTTCACAACGCCAATCAGCTTACTCAATGTATTTATCGTGATAATCTTCTATTTGATGATACAGAAATTCATGAGGCACCAAATAACCAAAAACAAACTGATGAGATTGCTCACAAAGAACATGAATTCATCAACATGGTGGAGCGCGAGCTTAAAGCAATGGCTAATGAAAGTAGCACTGCCAAACTCACAACTGAACCATTACATAATGACACTCCACAAAAGCGTGAACGAGAAGATTCTATTGAAGCCGATATTTTAACCAAGCATGCTTCAAAACGCCCTTATGTTAATGACACCGCTTCACCTCTTTCTGTTACACTTAAGAAGCCAGAATCTGCTGAGCTAACACAATCTAATACTAATGTGGAAGTTAGCGATGTTAATAAAGGTGAAATGACACTTGCCGATTACAATGAAGCTCAACAACGACGACACGAAGAAAAAATGAATTTATTTCGCCAAACCCTGTTATTGCAAGAGCGTACCATAGAGGTGCAAAACAAACTTTTAGAGCAGATGATAAAACGGGTTTAGTCATCATTGATATTCATCAGCATTCTGTGTAATTATTAAATAATGTTTTTCACAATAAAAGTCTTAAAAGTAGTCATTGTTTTCTGCTTTTATCTTCCATAAGGGAGCTTCGAAAAGTCTATATGCTGTCCTCTAAGTATTTCTTGCAATTCCCTTTGCAAAAGTTCATGCATAGATTCCCCATTGTGTTTATATATCCATCGCCCCGACTGCGAACTAGTTGCCACAAAATCATACCGCTTTGGACCGCTGGTAGGTGAACTCAACCAAATCTGTTTATTGGGCGTTTGTCGATTTATCACGTATGTACCATACTCTGGTCCCAGCTTCACAGTGAGAACTCCGTCCTTTTCAGATCATATTAATGATATAATAAGTATTATTGTGTATTCAGTACTCACCCCGTAAGCGACATCACTGGAGGATAAAGTTTTCGCGTTTTCGATAAGTTCTTCAAAGTAGTCACATAGCGCATCTAGGGTCTCGGAGCAAACGCGTTCATATTTAATGCTATCCAAGGTGGATTCATTCGTGCCCTCCTTATTTTCATTTGTACTTGCATAAGTTCTGAAGGTGGCTCTTCCGTGACAAATTGACAGAAAATACTTTGATGACAATCTTCTTACATACATAAGCCCATCAGGCTGTGATTTTACAAAAGTTCTGGGAACTTGTGTTATCCTAATCCTTTTTAGAGCACGTAAAATCACCAAACTCGACATTCTCAATGACCAAAAAGAAATCAGCTGTTCAAATATTGGGATTGAAATGGCTGCAAGCGAGGCGGCAACACAGTACCAGTGTTGCCACAAAAATATTACCAAATTTCTAAAAACAAATGCAAAATCCTCAAAATCCGAACAATTTACTCAAAATTTTCTTATTACAGTTATGAGTATTGTGTACTGCATACTTTTTACAGGTACTTAGTATAAAAATTAATTACATTCTCCAATTCAATTGGTACAATTGTTCTTGCGGTTTAATCAAAGTATCACCGTTATTTTTTTTGACTTGGTTTGTATATAATATTGCTGCAACTATATCAGTGCTCAATCTGGTCCTCAAGTCAGTCCTACACATTTTTAAACTACTACATATATATGTTCTACTGAAGCATTAGAAAAGGGCTACATTAGTAATGCAGATATATATTTTTTTTTAATTGGGAAACTTATATGGACCTGAAGAATCTTTTAATTCAAACGATTTCCCCTATAATTTTCTGGATCTAATGAAGAATCAATATGAGTATTCTTATGATTGAACAATGCGTGTTCTCTTCATTCGTTCATGATCCAACTACACAAGATCTGACAAGATAAAGCAAAAGAAAAAAGTAATTTTCTGGCTGACGTTTGTAATTTCGGCGCCATGTTATTTTCTGTGAAAAGTAAACAAAGAATATGAAGACGAAGCATAAAGAAAAAAATGCAAGCAATGTTGTCAGTCGGATTGAGCAGTCCACCACTCGAACGCACACTGGACTGAGCAGTCGGCCGAAAACAGGTTTCAGTTATGTATATATGAACTACGCATGATTGTGTTAGTGCATGTGGCACATGCAAACAAAACGAAATAGAAAACATGTTGTCTATGTGTGCGTGTCAGTCCACCGTCAATCCGCGATTTTCGCGGACTGAAATGAGCGAGGTAAACTCGAGCTCTCTCTCCACCTCTTATCCACACAAAACCGGTTTTAGGCGGACTGAGCCTACCGGTTCCCGAGAATATGAGTGTAACGGACTCAGGAGAAGGGTGCCCTAAATAACCCGGAACCCACTCCCTCAGGTTCCAGGCAACTGGCCCCAAAAGGCAGCTATCGGCAGATGATGCCGACGGCCCATCGAAGAGGCCTAAAACCTCTCGCAAGAACAGCCCGCCAAACCCTTTACGGGTCCCTCGGACATTTAATGAAGTGGCCAAGGACCATTTGGTGCTGGCTGTAATGCACAGGGGGCACCCGGAGGGAAACCTGACGACCGAGAATGGGAGAACTGTCCTTGTAGGTCTCTGCCGGGTGTATAAGGATATTCTCCAAAGGAATCTTGGCCCTGCTCCTGTCATTCGCGGCGCTGGCCTATACCAAGGCCGTATTAAAATGGTAGCGTGCGCCGACGAAAGGTCGGCTCGGCTCTATAAGGAGGCGATATCTTCGCTTGGGGAACTGTGGCCCGGCGCTGACTTAGTGGCAGTGCATAGGGATGAAATCCCTTGTTGGCCGCGAGCCAGGGCATGGGTCCCGGAGTAACCCGCTAGTTCGTATGGGATTCTGGAGATTATCCAGATCTCCAACGATACACTACCAGCCCTTGATTGGAGAGTAGTAAAGGTCAGTGAGGTTAGGGAACAGCAACGTTATATTACCCTGGTAATTAACTACGGCTTTTACTCCATCACTCTCAAAACCCAGAAAGGGAATGAGGGTAAAATTCCTGAGCCGGGAAGCACCGCGAGTGAACCCGATAATCTGCCACCTGAGAAAGGCCTTATTTCGAGTAGGGCAGAAAACGTCTCGAGCGGTCCTGCCTCTAGCCAAGAAGTCCAGGAGGGTCCCGTGGTCACTCGTCTGGCGGAGGAATCAGACTCGGCATCAGAATCGGAAAGCGATACGCAATCCGCTTCTGGAGACAGGTGTGATTTCGGCCAATGGACGAGGGATTTCGAGAACCTGTTCCTGGCATCGGAAACGGAGGACGCCAATGATACTGTGGTAGAGGTGTCCAAAGGGACCGCGCCAGGAGCCATGGATGGCGACAACTCCTTAAAGGCTGTGGATGAAGGTCCTACAAATTAACCTTCACCACTCCAAAGCAGCCTCTGCAGCTCTGCTCCTGCACCTTAGTGACAAAGGGGAGGAGCTAATTTTGATCACAGAGCCCTGGGTTGTAAAAAACAGGGTCTACGGACTTAACTCTGATGCTTACCACCATGTGTCGGCCCCAGTGGCAGGTAAGATCAGAGCATGTATATTAATCAAGAAAACTATTTCTTATAATTTACTCACTCATTTTAGCGATGAAGACACGGTGTGCACCATTGTGGAGGGCAAATCCACTAAACTCTATATGGCTCACGATCGCCAAGACTGCCCCCTGCTCGGTTACTGGACGTGGTGAAAGAGGCCAATTTGCAAACGCGCACCACTCGTTACGGGGTTCTACCGACATCACCCCAAAAGGTGAGTTACTACTTGACTTCATACTATCTTATGATCTAGCTATTTGTAATATTGGTAGTAGACCCACCTTTGTTACCTCAAACAGGGAGGAGGTACTAGATATTACCTTAACGTCTATCTTTTTCTTGGAGAGCATTAGGGAATGGCATAAACTAAACGACCATTCATTCTCTGATCATATGTACCTATCATTCGAAATCTCTTTGGAATCTCCGGCTCTGATTCTGTATAGAAACAAGAGACGTACCGACTGGACTGTGTTTAGGAGGGTACTATCAGAGTCTCTGCTCAATGACGCTTCTCTCAGTAGGCCCGGCTTACTGTTACCATCTGATGAAGCGAAGCCTCTATTCGCAAACCTTGCTTCTCTCGGTGAGTTAAGCTCATCGGAACAAATTGAAGAAGCCGTAGATTGTATCACCAATGCCTGTAATACGGCCTTCTCTGAAGAGGAAGCCACACTGGTGGACCAAAGAAATTGCCTCTTTAAGAAAGGAAAGCAGGAAGCTCTTCAACGCTGCAAAGCGTAATGGTTCTTGGTCTGCTTACAAAGCAGCCTTGAAGAAATTTAAGAATGCCACCAGGAAAGCCCAAATGGACTCCTGGAAGGATTATTGTGATAGCATAGAGGAACAATCGGAGGGTTATCGCTTGCGAAAAGTGCTTGCCAAAAATCCGACGAACTCAATGTTTATTCAGAAGGCGAATGGCGACTGGACATCATCCCAAGAGGAGATGCTTGAGGTTCTAATGAGCGCCCACTTTCCAGGGTGTACTGAGGAGCCTGGCGTTGCTCGCACCATTTCTGGACGCTCCTTAGAATACATAGATTTTATTGATGTAGAAAAGGTAGATTGGGCCATAAGGTCCTTCCAGCCCTACAAATCTCCAGGCATGGACGGCATCTTCCCTGCCGAACTTCGAGCAACGTCTGACATTCTACGTCCGATGCTTGTCTCAATCTATAAGGCTTGTCTCAGACTTAGCTTCATACCCAAGGGATGGACACTGGCGAATGTTGTGTTCATTCCCAAGGGCGGTAGACCATCCCACGTGAAGCCAAGCGACTTTCGACCGATTATCCTTACATCTTTCTTCCTGAAGGTTCTGGAAGACTATTGGACGTGAAGATCCGACAAGAAATTGATTTAAGTAAATTATCTAGCTGTCAGCATGCCTATTGGACAGGCAGGTCTGTAGATACAGCTTTGCATAGTATTGTCAGCACCATTGAAAAGGCAATAGCGCTTAAAGAATATGCATTAGGCGTATTCCTTGATATCGGGGGTGCCTTCAATAATGTTCTCCCAGAAGCTGTTCTCCGCGCCCTAACTAACCTCGGCCTGGAGTACCCTCTGGTAGAATTTGTTCATCGCCTTCTAGGCTGCAGAACTATATACTCGGAGATGGGAGAGGTATCGGTAACAAGGTATGTAAACCGCGGCACCCCGCAAGGCGGTGTCCTCTCCCAATTCCTGTGGAATCTAACGGTGAATACTATGCTGTCACAGCTGCAGATCACAGGCTGTCAGGTAGTCGCCTACGCTGATGAGCTGACCCTGACGGCGGTAGGTAAGCACCCCCAAGTTCTATGTGACCTGGTCCAAGGCGCCTTACGCGTTGTGGAAACCTGGTCCAAGGAGTCTGGCCTTGGTGTCAATCCAGGGAAAACGGTCATGGTTATTTTCACAAAGAAAATTAAAACCGCCCAGATGCAACTTCCTTCCTTGAACGGTGTTACGCTGGCCTTCTCGGAGGAAGTTAGTTACCTGGGCGTTGTATAGGACAGAAAGCTAACTTGGCGGCGCAATGTTGACGAGCGTTGCAAAAAGGCTATAACTGCCCTGTATGCCTGTAAATCAGCAATAGGAAAAAAGTGAGGCTTGAAGCCGCACAATGTGAATTGGATGTACACAGTAGTGGTGCGTCCTATTCTATTCTATGGTATCACGGTCTGGTGGCCATTCGTGGACAAACTTACAATCAAAAGCAGACTGACAAAGGTTCCAAGGGTGGCGTGCACGATGATCACGGGGGCGTTGCCCTCAACGCCGACTAAAGCCCTAGGGACTTTGCTCCATTTTCTGCCTGTGGACCTATATGGCAAACTGCAGGCAAGTTGTAATGCTGTTCGATTAAACGCGCTGATCAAGTGGAGTGATACAAGATTTGAACACTCTAGAATTTTGGAAGATCTTCCAGGAAACTTCAGGCGCCTTGACTAAACAGTCCCGCCTACTGGTCTATAGAATCACTTCCAAACAAGGATCCCCTCAAGGGGTGAGTGGGAGAAGGATTCAATATTGATCTCCAAGCTAATCTGAAGGTAGGAAGTGGGATATATTCGCAAGATCTCTCACTTACCCTCAGTTTCCGTCTGCCAGATTACTGTAGCGTGTTTCAGGCTGAACTAACAGCAATCTACGAAGCTGCTAGATGGCTGATCGATTCTCCTACTAATCTACGTGCAGTAACTATTTTTTCCGATAGCCAGGCAGCTATCAAAGCACTTAATTGTGACAAATCTACATCGAAGATTGTCATGGAATGTAGACGTACTCTAAATGAGCTGGCAAGGAGTCACTTTACTCAAGTTGTATGGGTACCAGGTCATAGAAACATACCGGGCAACTGTGTTGCGGACGAGCTGGCTCGGAAAGGAGCCCTACTGCCTGCGATCAGTACCGCTCGTAATGCGGGTATTCCGCTATCATCCTGTAAACTTTGGCTGCAGAATAACTTTATCGAACGGGCAAATGTAAGATGGTCCGCGGAGCCCACGTGCGGAATAGCGAGACACATTTGGCTTAGGTTAGATAAGCGTAGATCTCGCCCACTCTTCCGTTTGGAGCGACCAATGCTCCGCCATGTTATTGGAATTCTCACCGGGCAGTGGCTTATGGGAACCCACGCTGCCAGGATGGGTTTGCAGCCAAACGATTCCTCTCGTAGCTGCCGCGATGAGGAGGAAATCGAGAGCGTGGAGCATTACCTGTGCCACTGTCCCGCTTTGGCAAGAGCCCGTCGACGCTCGCTCCTTCGCTATTCTTTCGAGGGTCTGGCTGAACTGGACTGGGCCAGTATCTACGGTTTTGTGCGCTTTCATCAGAGCTACAAATTGGTTCAATTTCTGAGATAGGAGGAGGGACGCTACGAGTCTCAAATATGGTATCACAATGGGCCCATGGAGGCCTAAGTGTACCCTTTTCCTGTACGGATGAGGGCAGCCTGGATAACCTAACCTAACCCAACCTATTGCTACCTCCCCCGTTTTCACAAATTATACGAATTTTCCCCAGCGAAACGAAACGAAAAAACATGTTAACTTAAATGCGCCTTTAAAAAAATTAAATCGCATTTTAGGTTGCCAACTTGTCTACACACAGAGCAACAAGTTGACCAATCTGCCTCAAAAATTAAAAATTTTTGATTTTTCTCCAACCTGACGAACAACTTGAAGGTTTACCAACTTGCCTACCCACAGCTTATTCACTACCAACTTCTAGCGGTTGGCCATCTGGTTTTTAGGTACTCTAAAATATATTTACGAAGGAATTGGATGAATGCGTGTGGTGTTAATCTATCTGGATCATCGAAAGTTTGCGCTGTGCACTTCAAATCGAATGATATCATTTATGCAAGTATTAATGCAAGAGAAGACACCTCGATCCAGATACAGTACCATCAAAGATATTACCTGCTATTTCATCAGATGAAATCAAATGCATTAGTGCAAGTTAAGCACTGCTATTTGCTTTGACGGAACTGATTCCGAATGCAATCGCTTACGCTTTAGGCTCGTACTAGAAAGGTCGGAGGTGTTAAAAATGATTCTCACAAATACGTGCTGTTGGCGACAAAGACATGTGGTAAGCTAGCTCCTACTGTTTTTTTTTACATATTCGTCGTTCGGTACGATGAACACGGAGTCACCGCACTTCGCACTCTTGCATAAAAGACACGTATGCGGCATTATTAGTTTTATCGTTTTCTATATTCTTTTTTGTTAATATTTTCCTCTGTTCACGATTTCAAAAAAAATTAAATTTCAAACTACCAAAAAGGTTAAATAAAGTGACAACAAATTTCAAGATTTTAACTAAACACTAAAGCAATTGTCAAATATGGATATGAGAAAAATGAAATGCCCTGCAAAAATCGCGACTACTCCATGCATGCGTGTAAAGAGCACTCTCTAAGGACCAAGGAGTACTCCAAAATTAACCACAATTCATATAAAAAATATGGTCCAATTAACATTGCGATGTCCTAGGGCAGGACCATATACTCCATCCCTGCATTACAACAGAGTAGCACAAAACTACTCTAACATATTAACAATGGCATTGCTGTTATATTTTTTCGTTTGTACGCGCTTTTGTTCTTCACTTCTCAAATGCTTTTTCGAAATTAATAAAAACCAAGACAAAAATTAAAAATTACATGTTGCCTCTGACGGCATTCGAACCCGAACATGCTGGGAGCTAAGAACTAACAGCGAGCATTTCTACACGTTCAGCTACAGCCAGACATGCAAATGTTCTTTCAAAAGCTCAACTTCAATCACATTTCGTTAAAACACGAGCAGTGATCGGATAACAAACAATAAGCTGGCGCAGAGACACGATTTGGTCCGCTACAGCATGACAGAGGAACACTTTTGTAAGTACTCCAATTTACCACAAATAGACTACATGGTCCCATGATTTTTGCAGGGTGTCATTAATTGGCACACTGTATACACTGTGGCTGAATCTAGCCCCCAAAAACTAAAAAGGCAACACTGGTCATAAGCTACAAATCACGGTTTTTTCGTTAACTAGATGTTCGCAAAAACTGTTTCACCTTTAACCCTTCATAAGATTTCTAGAGCGTTTATTGATCTGGCGGCCGCTGTGGTGTGGTGTGTGGCGTAGTGGTAAGCAGTGCGCGCTTCCACTTCGCAGCGCCTGGGTTCAAGCCCTGGTCAAAGCAACATCGCAAAAATTTTTAGAAGAAAGGTTTTTTCTTAATAGCGGTCGCCCCTCGGCAGGCAATGGCAAACCTCCGAGTGTATTTCTGCCATGGAAAACAGCTTCTCATAAAAATACAATCGCCGTTCGGAGTCGGCGTTAAACTGTAGGTCCCTCCCCTTTGTGTGAAAACATCAAGGCGCACGCCACAAATCGGAGGAGAAGCTCAGCCAAACACTAACATATGTGTAAGCGCCAATCTATTATTATTATTATTATTGATCTGGACTGGTGGTACGATATTTAGAACCACAAATGGAAGGTCCACGCAAAACTTTCCGTCAATTTTACTGAAGTTAAGCCTTTTTCGTTTTTATTCCCTGTAATTTCGAGATTTTAAGTTCACATTTGCACCTTCCTTTCAGTAACGTTAATTTTGTATGCGCATGCCCAGGAAATGTCAAGGTAAGACAACGGTAGTGGGTGACAAGTCAAGCAGAGCAAAGAAACGGCATAATTTTCTAGCAAGAATTTGTGTTATTTTGCGAGAAAAATGTTGGGGAATTCTTTGAAGAATCCACTAGCTGAACTTTATCATGTGGAGCTATTAACTGTGCAGTGGCTGCAAAATGTGTGAGTTACTCAAGAACTATACAGTTGTATAACCTTGCATCCTATTCCTACCTTTATGCAGCCTGACACCAGTGGAACCGGCACTTCTGCTTCTCAGCGAACACTTCAAGCCAGCGAAATTAATGGATGTTTATGTGCCATTAGTGGGAGCATTTAATCATCAGCTGTTAGTCCGTTTAGTAGGTGCACTAGGTGTCATCAATGTGATCTCCTCGCTAGTTAAATGGTAAAATTATGTTGATACATTGTATAACTTTATTAAAAACAAAAAAAAAACATTACTCATCCACATACAAAATGTGCGCCTGCCAGGTCCATGCCAGCAAATCGTCCTTACTGGTGGATACGTGAATATAACGAGTCAAGCGTGTTGCAGCAGTATCATGGTACATGTGAAACGACTGCTGCTTTCCCTTCCAGTCATTGCCTTTCGTTCACTACATTCTTTTACTTGGTGGTGCTGTTTCTTTTGCCACCTTGCTGGAGGCGTCTGAAGCTGTCTACGCGACATTTGAGCGCCATTTGCAGAGCGCTTGTTATACTATCAGCCACTTGCATGTCGCTTAGTCGCATTTACTTGGCTGCTCAATTTCCACATCAATGTTTTGCGTCTTGTTTTGGAGCGATAGCTGCACTGCATGCATTTGATAGGTATTCCGACAATTTGTATACACTAAGTCGGTTTAGGGCAGTGTTAATTGTTTTCTGCGGGAGTATTTTCCCCGTGGTAATTTACTTGGGCATGCTGCGGCTGGATTTAGATCCGCATTGGTCGGTACGAATGGTACGTATGGCACAATAATTTTTAATTATTTTTTTCAGTTTACATACATACATGCGTACCAGTGTTGGGCAAATTTTAATTGTAAGGACAATTAACAATTAATTAGTTGTTAATTGCTATCAATATAATAACCAATTAACAAAAAAGTAATTGCAATTAAGTTAATTGCCGTGTGCAATTAAAAATTTAATTGCAATTAAAATTTTAATTCCAATTAATTTAGTCGCAAATAATTTAATTGCTATACGTAATTAAAAGTTCAATCGCAATTAATTTAATTGCAATGCGCAATTAAAATGTTAATTGCAATTACCTTTTTAATCTGTTAACAACACGAATGGAAAATTAATTGATTTACGCCTAACACTGATGCGTACATTTGTATGTAATCGAAATCGAAAATGTTATTTAAAGGCTTTCAAGTGGTGTATGGACCCAGCGCAAATGCGTCACGAGGAAAGTTCAATTTTTGTGTTGGGGCGCGACTTCGGCTATCTTATGGGTGTAGTACTTTCAGCGCCTCTATACAAACGGTAATTTTATCGGAATATACATTAGTGAAATAGATTTTTTAATAGAGGTAATTATGATTTTTTTGCAGCTATGAAAACAAGACTGTTATTGTCAAGCGTTTACCAATACTCTTCGTCCTAGAAATGCTCAATCATTACGCGCGCCTGGAAACACCAAAAAGTTATGGTCGCGTTGCATTTGTTGGTTATGAATTTCTACGAAATGCTATGCATTCGTTTACACTTTTAACAATTTTACCGAAAACCACAACATAACTTCGCAATCCTCAAAGTAAAGTTTGTGAGCCGAAGAGAAACAATATTCAAATCCAGATAAAAATTATCATAATAATAACCAATATATATATATAACTTTGTGAATGTATATATGTATGTGTATATTTAAACAGGTATTAAAAAGCAACATAACTACGGTTTAGTTAATAATTTGTATAAATTTAAGTTGTATCAAAACTGTTAAAGGAACTTGGGTAGCCAATAAAAACGCACGAAATAATAAATGAAATGTAACTTAAAAGATATCCTATGCTTACAAAAAAACATCAAAAAAAAGCTTTAACCTTACCTAGAAAATTAATCAAATACAAGAAAAAATGTAGAAATATATCTAAATAAATCTAACTACTTAACCAGCAAGTAGGCCAAAAATATTTTCAATTCCTCTATATCATTAAATAACCGATATACATACAAAAATACAAAATACAAAATGTGATATAAAATAAAACAAATGAAAATAAAATAAAGTAAAATTAAACATATCAATAAAAAAAATAAAAAACAAAATAAAATAAGATAAATGATAAAAGCAAAAAAAAATTGGCAACCGCTTCAGCCGAGGATCGAACCTGGAACCTTGCAGCACGCAACTCTCACCTCTCTGCTACCGCGGTCGCAAATCTCGCTTGCTTAAAGCTGATGCCACATAAAACGTTTGCTTCGCTTTCCGTGACAGATTCGCTTTGACAGCTAAGATGAAGTGTATGAAAATGCACAAAGCATGCCACATAGATCATTGAAGCTGCAGCGCGAAGCGAAAAGATGGCTAACTCCCATCTTTTTGCGCGCTTTGACAATCAGCCGGTTTAATATTTATTTCTTGGCGTACCTTTTGCGTCTGGCGCTTTGCTGGCAAAGTTATAAATGTCACGCAAAGCTACAAAGCTTTATCTGGCATCAGCTTTAACCTGGCATTCAGTAAGCGGTCTCTAGTCACTAATAGTGACTTTTGGTGGTGAACTTGGATTTTGAGACTATTTGGAACTCAGTACGCTGTCTCACGTCTCCAATCTCAAAAATAAGTCACTAATTTGTCAGCTGGCAAGAGCAGGTCACAAAAATAGAAGTATGGAGGAAAAGCTTATTTCTTTCCATTTTATTAAAAAAAAAAATCGTAAATGAAGCGAGGAAATTTGTTCAACAAGAATTTCATTAGCAAATAAACTAAAATGCTTTAATATCATACAAATGTATTGAAAGAAATTTTATTTTTTTGTTTTTAAAACATTAAAATCTAAAGATTGTTAAAAAAATAAAACTAATAAAAAAATATTAAATAAAAAAAAAACAACGACCGAGAAGAACTTGAACCCGGACCCTCTCAACTGCCAGCCTAATGCTTTGACCACTCGGCCATTGGGACTCTTTGAGCGCCGCGGGCAAAAGGCATACATAAACACTATCAGTTGATTGTCTGTGTTTGCTTTCACCACACATTTTTGGTGAACTTTTTGTGACTCTCCTTCTGAATATCCCAGGAATACCAGGGAACAGCTAGCCGTTTTTACCAGTGTTGTCATCGAAAATTAACCCGACTTTCCACACAATGCAACGCTCGTAGTTCCTGCTCCGTTTCATTTTTGTATATGTATGTATCCACGGTGGAGAGAATACAGAGGTGGCGCCGATGACGATACCGCTACTCGGCTCTCAGTGATTTTGACAGAATCAGCTGTTTTGGTGACGTCACAGTAGAGAAGACAGCAGTAGTGATGTGCTGAGTCAATACTTTTAAGTACCCAATACTCTCGATACTCGGTACCGAAACATTTAGGTTTCGAATAAAAGCGCACATAGGCCAAAAATATGGAAAAAACGCCTAACAAAACCCGAATGTAAGAGCCAATAGAGCTTTTTTACTGATTCAAATGAAAGGTGTATATATGTCGGTTCGATGCCATAATACAGAGAAACCCTTACTTGTTTGAAGCGTTTTTGTTCCAGCTGAATCGGACGATATCATTTTTGTAGGCCTGGGACAGATTCTGTAACAATTTTCGAATCGGTATCGGTTTTTTCGACGTTTGATATCAAATATTTGTAAGTCAACAAGTGCGATATCGATCCGAAACTTGTCGCTAACTGGCTACAGAATCTCTCCCCTGAAAGGCTTCTTCATCCGTCAAAGTATTTTTCTTGAACCTTGGATCGACTAAGGTTAAAACTGATTAAATAATATTTTTCTGTGGCGATAAGTTCAAGTGTTTTAGCCGATATCATATAAATTAGTAATGAAAGTTTTTTCTAAACCTGAAATGCATATAATGGCGAGGGTTTAATGTAAATAATCGGTATCGGATACCGAAAAGGAAGTATAGGGTACCGAAATATTTTTTAAGTATTGGGTACCGAGTACTGGGGACAATTCAGCACATCACTAGTCGCCCTCATTCACGCCGCTCTCAGTTGTCAACTCTACAGTGACGTCACGCCAAAGTTACTCTCACGAATTCTGCTGCGATCGGCGCAATCTTGTATTCTATCATTCTTGGTATGTATCTATAGGTTCATTCCTTATCTTTTTGGACTAAAATCTGAAAAGTGTCAAAATGCCAGAGCGTAAGCAAAATGCGCTCACTAAAATAGAATAACAGGAAAAGTAAAGGAACGCAAAAAACCAAATTTTTAGTCCAAAAATGGCAACAACAAAGCTAACGTCAAATAAGAATGGAAATGTATGTACAAAACACATTCACACAAGCACAAGCACAATAAACACTTACTATATCAATTATTTTTTGCCTCCTTCCAATTTCAATTCACTTTTTTTACTTTTTAGATTATTCTCACTTTTTGCGTATTCTTTAATTTCCGTTAATTTAAATTTAGTTGAGTTTGACACTTTTCAGGATTTTGCCAGAAAAAATTCTTCTGACTAAATCTGACTACTTCGGACTGATGAGAGTCACTCTCACTGGGTCTTTCTCTCTCATTTTAGCTGTCATTTCCGAGTTAAGGAACGCTTTTTGGACTAAATCTGACTACTTCGGACTTTTTCTGACTATTTCTGGGAGATAAGGAACGCTCCTTATAAATGCATGTGGTCGAAAAACAAAAAAAAAAATCACATAATTCATAGCTATCTCAAAGCCTATTGAGTTTTTAATGAAAATTAGAAAATGCCAACTTGAAAAGGTTTAAAAGTTATTCATCATTTGACATTATAGTCGGTGTTCAAAAGAGAGAAATGTCATAATCACTTCTACCTTGTTTAATATGCCTTGATTTATAAGGTCGGTGTTACGCAGACAAACTTTTGTTTGTCAAATTAAATGGCGGCTGCTTAGTTTGCTCGGAGGTGGTTATGTCGAGTTTGGTACAGGGTTGCACGTTCATTATGGTTTTCATGGCTATTGCCAACACGAAATGAGAATTTCAGATGTACATAACGCTCACAATTAATATATTTTTTATGATATCGTATAGGCAATTAACTGTGCCCTAATCTTTGAAGCTCCAACAGCATAAATTCAGTTCTCTGGATTTCGCTATCACGGCAATTTTTGTGTATTTGTGTATTAATTGTCTAAAATTTTTGAATATGACAACACCGAATTTGGTGCAGTTTGACCAAAGAAAATTAGTTTGCTGTGAGAGTCGCCGAGTTTGCTGCAACAACAATTGCACGCAGTTTGCCAAACAAAACTTCTGCATAACACCGACCTAAGGAACAATCGCTGAGAGCCAACTTTAGGAATTTTGACATTTGCTAGCATTTTTGAAATTTTCTCTCGCCGTCATTTCATTTTCTTGTTTTTATTTTCACTCAAACCAAATAAATATATTTTGTCAAAACCATGATAAAAACATAATAAGGTAAAACCGTTCTCTCAATTCGTCGGCCATGATTTTTTTTTTTTTTTTGAAGTTTGAAAATTTAAAATTAAATTGCTTGCTAACGTCAAGAATTTGAAAAATTCCTCTCAGCACATCAACGTTGAAGCTCGGAACACTTTGACGACGGCAAGCGACAAGCAGCATCTGTCAAATTTTAAATACACACGTTCTTACGGACACAATTATTTTGACGACAGCACGACATCTTGGCTGCAGGACTGCAATTGTCGACGTCGCCAAATTAAATCTATTTCTAATTTTGCCGGCGACAATGAGTAGATGTAGTGCTGCAAAGTTAAATTGTCGCAAAATTAATCACATATTCTTGATTGTTCATGTTTTTCTTATTTACTTAAATAAAAATACACAATTTGTGAAATAAATATACCAAAATGTAAAACTTTAATATCAGCTATTTGCTATGTCGCTGAGGTCTTCAAAATGTTTAAGAAGCTGGCTTCAAGGCGACATTTGTCGACAAAATGATGTCGCTGTCGTTACGTCGTGAAGTTGCAGTCGTCAAAGTGTTCCGAGCTTAAGCCTAGTAAACCAAATTGCTGCCAAATGCGCAATCAACAGAACTCGTATCTCGCTTGCAACAGAAAAAAGAAGAAAGCGAGCGAGATTTTCAAGCATGTGAAGCCGGCCAGTTAACTTACCTTGGGATATTTCTCGGATGGTTTCTATCCTGGCTTAAAACAGCTGTTTGTATTCTGTGCAGCTGTTTTTGAACGCACAATTTCCTAGTTGTTTAAGGACAAGTTTGTCGTATTTAATTTAATACAATTAAATATTAAATAAATAAAAATATGTCGAAGGTAATTGAGATTTCTGATTCAGATGACGAGTCGGAACGAATGGTAACTAGCAGTGAAGTAGGCAACTTCCAGCCTGTGGACGTGCCGACAATCAATTCCTCTTCTGCTGAAAATTTGTCGACAATTGCTGTTGAAACGGCGGTGGCTACATCTGGTAGAACATCTCCACTTCCCCTAATCATTTCGGAAGTAATTTCTATGAATACATCGCCACTTCCCACTATTGTAAGTGTGCATGGAAGTCCAGCTACAAATAGTTCAAGTACACCCTCTGCGGCTAGCACATCAAGTGCAGCAAATATACAACCAAATAAACGCAGTCGGCGGAAGAGCATGCACCATCCACTATGTGCAAGTCCGGAAATTGAATTTGAAACAATCGCCTTGGATGATGACGAGGACAATACGCCCTCCAAGGCCAAAAATAAAAACCACACGACTGATATCGTGCAACAAATTAAATCGCCGAAATCACACAAAACATCGCCGAAAATCCTCAATACTAAACCAACTGACGGCAACATCAGTAAAAAATTAGCAGATGCGCGTAATGATTTTCTAATGTCAGATGAAACCAATGCTTTGTTACGACAAATAGCCGAAGACAGAGTCCGCATAAACTTTCTGCTCGCATCTTATAATATGCCAGAGATACAGTTTTCTTTGCATACGAAGCCGGAAGTTTTGCAATTTCAGTTGGAAGAGCGTATCAAGCACCGGAGAAGGCGTTGTCAAGAAGCGTCAAATCAACTAAAGAAACGACGAAGTTTATTGCAAAATAGCAATAGCCGGACGGGAAGTTAAGTTGAGCTTGAGGTAGACAAATCATCGTAAGTGTTTTTTTGGCGAATACATATCTGTATTAGCTAATGTCGAAAAGCTGGCTTTAGTATAATGCGGCATTCGAAGCATATGATAGCGAATGACTCACTGCAGTCATATGTATTTTATCATATTTAGAAAGAAATTAACATAATGTTAATATTTGTTATTAATTTGCTGAAATTCATATTTGCTTAAAAGATAGTATTAGGTTACAAATTGTAGGAAACCACATCAAGATCAAAATCAATGGCACATTTACGTTTATACATTTGCATACATACATGGCATACATGCATACATTTGATAAATAATATATATATATATATAACATTATAAAGGGCTGTTTGCAGCTCAAGAAAAATCACAAGAAATTTGTTTCATTATTACTGTTACTTGAAAAAGAACTTTGCAGAACTTTGCTTTTGATGTAAATTTTCCTGAAGAAATATGTATATAGGTATACGAAAATTTTTTTCTTGAGAGCTGCAAACTGATACAACACGACAAACATTTAGCTTTGACCTCAACTTGAGGTTAAGTTGAGAACTAAGGGGTACCAGTGAATGGCTTTTAAATAAAATTAAAAAAATATGATTATTCTGTAGATTACAAGAGAGGAGCAGGAGCATTATTTGTCCTCCGTTTGCCCATTGTTAGGTAGAATTTCTTTCTACGTTTTATGCATACAAAGCATCTTGATATGAAGAGCATTGAAAATAAGCGAAAACAAGTAGGGTGCGTTCAGAAATGCATCAAGCCAAAGCATCAGCCTCTTTTTCTTCTAAATTATAGCTGATGAAAATGCCTTATTTCGCAACTAAGTTCCAAGTAGGCATTTAACCGTGGGTGCGCATATTGCACACTTCCATCAATTAAATTTTAGAAATAAATACGTCTGATGCTTTTCTGAGTACACCCGTATATACAGCGTGGCGACGAATAACTGTTACCGTTTTTTTTTAGAAATAAAAGGGTGCTTTATTGATTTCGCGTAGAAAGTATTTTATTGTTCATTTGCCGCAGATTTTACTTTAGCTGTATTAATTAGTTATTAAATTTTAATCCCTATTTACATTTGCCAGCAGTTTAGACTTTGATAGAAAAGTTAATTTGGCACGCAGGTCTTATATACGACCTGCACCACTAACGGTCGAACAAATCAGAAGAGTTTGAAAATTTTCAAAATCGTCTGAATTTTTCGCGCATCACGCGACGGATTTGCTCGATGTTAGAGCTCAGCTTAAGAATTTAAATATTTATTTTATATTTTATTACTTTTGTAATATGTAGTTAATCAATAAGAGATTGAGTAATTCACTTTACAGTGATTCTGCCATATGATTCACTTCGCGTTTTTTTTCTTTGAAGACTATTTGAAGATACTTTGAAGATTATTTACTTTTTGTTGGTAATTTTCCTCTTTACCTATATACCCCCTATTATGAATTCGTAAGATGTATGATACGCGCTTGCTTTCTGTCATCTCCTATCATCTGTCGGGTAGAGACCATGAACGAAAGACACAAGATCACGCGGGACGGAAAGAACGAAAAAAGTTATTTTCTAGCTGCCGAAATCTCGACGCCATCTTTGCTGTAAGAAGTAAACAACGAAGAGAACGGAGAAATCCGCGAAATTGTTGAACGCATGAAAAATCATTTTTATTATGCAAATTCTTCTAAAAATCATGCCGTTGTGTTAAATTATTCTTTATCTTATGTGTACACACGTTGTCACAAGCGAAAATGAAGAAAATTGCAGTAAAAAGCCACCACCAAATTGTAAACAACGAAGAAATGTAAATAAACGGCTAATGTCAAAATCGTTCAACTTTTTTCCTTAATGCGATTCTAACGGGCTAGTCTCCTGCCCGCGTGATCTTGTCTTTTTGGTTCATGGTAGAGACTGAAAAGCTGGAAAGGCGATGGTTTCCCAAAAGTTCAATAATTTGTACTGAACAATGTGGAAACCACATATCGAAAATATTGCCGTCGCAATCAACACTCTCATCGACTTCTTGACCTTATCGCAACAGTAAAATACCATTTTATCGGTTTCCACCTTCGTAGATCTACAATTCAAGAAAAATGCTTTGAAGGATAAAGTCTTTCAGGCTTACAAAGATAACATCGTCCGATTCTTCACAAAAAAAAATGTTTCAAATATGGGAGGGTTGCACAACACACTGCGCAAATTTGCTCAACAAAATTTACGAGCAAAGTCGCTCTTTTGTGCAAAAGACTCCATACAAATATTGATATCTTATTTGAGAGGGTTGACAATTGCCCAGTTGCGATGCATTGCACCTTTGAATAAGTACACTTTCTATCATTCTTGATCATTTCCCAAAAGTTTCGATGAATGCTATTCTCAATTGGTGTAAGATGGCAACCTTGTTTCGGCCATCATAGTTTTGGCGCTGTCAGCTGAACGGATTTACGTAAAAAAATGCGCCGCGGATTTTCATGTTTACTACTGATTTGCGACCACTGCGGATAAATTCTGCGATACATAAATTTTGTTTACGTTGATCGCTAGAGAAATAAGTTGGTTAACCTGCACGGGCTTACGGATTGCGTTATACATAGTTATTTAGTTAAAGCTTGGTGGTTATTTCGTATAAACTTATTTGCTTAGCGAAATGGACGACGAAAAGCTAATATCTTTGGTGGAGAAGTACCCCATGTTATACGATAAACAGAATAAAGACTTTAAAAACAAGACAAAGAAAAGTTACGTATGGCAGCGGATTGCTACGATATTGGAAGTTGATGGTATACAAATCAAAAATATCATTTAGCATGTTTCTGTTAATACTCTTTTTTTGTTATAGAAAATACGGTTAAGAAGCGATGGCTTCTTATACGAGACCGCTTTGGCAGAGAAATTCGGTACACACAGAATACTTCTACCAAAAGGTGGTCGTTGTTGGATCAACTTAAATTCTTGAAAAATCATGTAGTTCAACGTCCGTAAGTATAATGATTGCTTTCTACGTTTTTCATACATCTGTAAATGTTGTTTATAAGCAGAATGCGACAAGGAAAACGATCAGCCCAAACATCAAAAAATGAAAGTTCATCTGCATCAGTGTCTCAGTCTTCACCAATATATGCAAAAGCAGAATACAATTCGGAAGACCCATTAGTATTTTTTCACCCGGAATCACCTTTGGAACCACCAGCGTGTCCTTCACCGTCATCAACAGTGGCATCGTTTTCTAGGCCACACCAAATGCAAGGAAAATCGTCGGATATAGATGTTGAAATCCTAAAGGCGGTGAAAATGCTACAAGATGTCTGCGAACAAAAACCACAAAGGGATGAAATTGGTCCAGAAATTAGTGGATTCTTGACAATGATTGGAGCCACAATTTCAAATCTTAAAAAAATGAATCAGGCTAGAGTCATACAACGCTGTACAGAGATTGTAATGCAGGCTCAAGTGGAGGAAGAAGAAGAAAATTTAATTTATGACAACAGTAGCGCAAAATTAGTTTGAGCTTTGATATACTATGTTTATGTATTATGTCTATATAAACAAATTAGTAGAATTTTATAAGTACTTATTATAAAACTAAAATAGCTTAGGTTAATTTTGTATAAACAAATAACATATACATACATACATACATACTAAATTTGGTAATTATCTAGTTGGGCTCTCAACCCCCAAAATGTTTTGTTAATAACTTTTGATCGGGTAAAAAAAGTTAATTTCCGCTTTGGGATTCTTGTTATTGGGGTCCAGACGCGTCTAATGGTACCCCGTTTCCAAAATTTTGACCAATTTTGGGGGTTGAAAGTACACCTAGATAATTACCCTATATTTGTACCAGACGTCTGCATGAATGCATTGAACCAATTTTCACGAAGACTTCACCATCGTACAGTTTCATGAGTAAAAACATTAGGAGTGTCCTCGTATTGAGTGGACAAAAATAAGAGGGGGAAGAGTTCGAGTTTATTTCTCTCATTTCAGTCCGCGAAAATCGCGGATTGACGGTGGACTGACACGCACACATAGAAACATGTTTTCTATTTCGTTTTGTTTGTATACAAACATATATGTCCCACATGCACTAACACAATCATGCGTAGTTCATGCATACAAAACTTAAACCTGTTTTCGGCCGACTGCCCACGCCAGCGTGCGTTCGAGTGGCGGACTGCTCAGTCCGGAAAATTTTATTACCAAAAAATGTTACCAGTTCTTGTCACCGCGATTCTAGGAACGTTGGTAATGCAGTTAAAATATTGAGCAATTCAGCTATGAAGAATTGTGCAAATTCTGGCATTGCATATTTCACGGGGCAATACTTTGTTACAAGCTTATGAGATGGTAACAAAATTTACCGGTTACAAGAATACACAGAATGCGAAAAGGGTTTGAAAATTGACAGGAACTTTATTTACCGGTTACAAACTTTTTATTACCAGCGCAGAATAGACCTGTAAAACTGGTTTTCGACCTAAAACTTGTGTTTTCGTCCATGTAAAATCTGTCAAACGATAACCAGTTTTCGCTAAAACTATGTTCACATTACCAACATAAAATACTTAGTTTCGTTTAAAATACCTCACTAAATTAAGAACGTTCATACACGCGATTCTTTATTTGTCTTGACAGCTTTGTAGCAACCCTGTGTGTTTATCTAACCAAAAGAGATCGCGAATGTGAGTAATTGCGTATCAAGGCGAATTTATAAATTCGCCTTGTTGCGTATATTTTTATATTCTGAGTTGTTTGTGGTAATTTTTTAGATTTTAGATGAGTGATCAAAAGAGAAAGCTTCTGGAAAGATTTTACAAACTATCACCCTCAATTATTAAAAACAAGAACGTCCAAACACAATGACATATCAGTTATGGGACAATACTTTTTTCGATTATTATCGATAAAATTAGAGCCGACACTGATTTGTTCGTGATTTGGTTCTTGGTTTAAAGCTCGTCGGCGATTTCAAGCATCCGTTGATGGTTACCCCGGCAACGAGTACATGTGTGAGTGTCGGGTTGAATGTCGGGTGCTTGAAGCTTGCCCGGCGACACTCAAGCATAAAGCGTCAACACCATTTGCAATAAAATTTCGTAGTGGGCGGACGTAAACATGTCTTCATCGGATGACGATTTTTTGCTACTTGCCACTAAAATCTTTATCTTCCGCGAACTTGCTCACTTTACATATCACAACAAACTAACACACTAAAGGCCGGTCCACATAGAACTTTCGTGTTGGCTTTGGCGTTGGCGTTGGTTTGACAGAACGCACGTTAAAAGTATGCTTGCTACAATGAGCGCTTGGCAGCGAATGCTTGGGCCACTACATTAACATACTAACGACAGATAAATTAATATTTCATATCAATAATTGCATTAAAAACGATATTTCTTGCCCGCACTTGATTAAAAAGGAAAATATTTCACATAATTTTATTTATTTGCAACAGCTGACGAGCGACGCACGCGAAAAGATGAGAGTTGGCCATCTTTTTGCTTTGTGTTGGCGTGAGCGTTGTCGAATTTTGGCTATGTGGACGGCTGCATTTGAATTCATGTATTCATAGTCAGCTGTTGAAGCGACGCCAACGCCAACGCAACGCCAAAGTTCTATGTGGACGGGCCTTAATGCTTGTCAACGCTTTGCGCCACTATCAAACAGACCGCTTGTCAAGCGGTCGCGTTGATGGAAAATCAAAAATTTTTGATTTTCCATCAACGCGAGCCGACAACAAGTACGTGTGACACGACGATCTCCGATTGCCTCGGTTGCTGGGGTAACCATCAACGGATGCTTGAAATCGCCGACGAGCTTTAGATAAACTACGTACTTTCAACTTAAAGTGTGTTTGCATTGTTCAACTTTGCGTTCAACATTTGCGTTCAAAACAGCGCAGGTTTGCACGAAAAAAAGTTGAATGGCTAAAAATATCAAAATATGAAAAAACATCAAAATATTCGCCATAAAAAGGTGTTTGCATTGTTCATCTTTGCATCCAACTTTTGGCTTAATGGCCTTTCAACTAATTGCTTTCAACAAAGTTGGTCGCCAGCCAACATTTAGGCATTCAACTTTTTTTCGTGCAACCCTGCGTTGCGTTGAACGCAAATGTTGAACGCAAAGTTGAACAATGCAAACACTGCTTTAATTACTGAGAGACTTTACAAGGCGAAATTACTTAGGTCGGTGTTATGCAGACAAACTTTTGTTTGCCAAATTAAATGGCGGCTGCTTAGTTTGCTCGGAGGTGGTTATGTCGAGTTTGGCACAGGGTTGCACGTTCATTATGGTTTTCATGGCTATTGCCAACACGAAATGAGAATTTCAGATGTACATAACGCGCAAAATTTAAAATTTTTGTATATGACAACACCGAATTTGCTGCAGTTTGACCAAACGAAATTAGTTTGCTGTGAGAGTCGACAACCCCGCTCTCTCCGAGTTTGCTGCAACAACAATTGCACGCAGTTTGCCAAACAAAATTTCTGCATAACACCCATGATTCAATAATACAAGGTTAGATAATTATTGACAGCTGCGGTTTGACACTCCCTTACAAAAGGTTGCATTTACGAAGGACAGAGAAAGGGCAAGAATGCGATCACTTTTTTCGAAAATGGTAGTAGAAAAGTAGCAAAGTAGCCAATTAGTAGTGAAATTCCTTTCGTAAATTCTAATATATTTGCAGGAAATCTGGTATTTTAAACGAAATGTTGAACGTAATATTGATATATCTACGTGAATTACGTAATTTATATGCTATTTAGCCGTATAAAAACTGCAAAATGACTCAAAATTAAAATAATACTACTATGAGATTGATGTAAACATCCAATGCTTATGTTTTCATCAGTTAAATATGCTTCATATGCATATACAAATAAACATATTGCACAAAAGCTTATACTTTTATTTAACACCAAAGCTACACTGTTTCGATGTAAATTTGCAAAGAAGCAACACGGTCCCACTGCTAAGGGAGCGGTGCGAGAGGGACAACTGTCAGTTTATCGAACCTTGTATTATTGAATCATGACACCGACCTTAGTTTGTAGCTGTGTGGACAGCCAGTAGGGTCAGCAATTTTTTGCAGGGTGTGTTTTAAAAGTATCGATATCAAATCTGCTCGGAATTGTGAGAAAATTGTCGGAGAGGTAATTATCGAGTACTTACTTGTACGTTTACTTTTATCATTCCATTCCTAATTTTGGTGGACGCCAAATACATACCATTATTTTGTGAAATTTTGGAAAACAGTTTTTAAATATAAAATAAAGGAAACTAGTCCTAAAGTGATGTCGCTGCCGAGCAATTACAAACAAATTGCTGTCGGCGCATCAACCGGACCCTCTACTCCCGCGCCAAGTAGTGGCTCTGGCAGCAGCCGCTCCCGTTCTTCTGGCGCCGGCGGTGGTTCAGACCGCAACAAAGACACTACTCCTATTTTCACTCATAGTAATTATGGTAATCCAGCATTCACTCCGCAGAAGGCTGGCAAATCGGCCAGTTCTAAGACCCAAGCCGAATCTCGTACACCGAAACCACCCAAGCCTCCAGAGAAACCGGTTCTACCCTACATGCGCTATTCGAAACGCATCTGGGATAGCGTAAAGGCTCAATACCCCGATTTAAAGCTATGGGAATTAGGAAAAAAGATTGGAGCCATGTGGAAACAACTTACCGAGTCTGAGAAACAGGAATTCATTGACGAGTACGAAACTGATAAAGCAGAGTATGAAAAGGCTTTAAAGACGTATCATAATTCACCAGCATACTTGTCCTTCCTGGCTGCTAAGAGTAAAGTAAAAACTGATTCTGACGTACATGATACACCGTCACGTTCTAGTGGCAAAAGCCAGCAAGAAAGACGAATTGACATTCAACCAGCAGAAGATGAAGATGATCAAGATGAAGGATATTCGTTCAAACATGTGGCGTACGCTCGCTATTTGCGTAATCATCGACTTATCAACGAGATATTTTCAGACGCAGTAGTACCGGATGTGCGATCTGTTGTAACAACCCAACGCATGCAGGTACTCAAGCGGCAAGTAAGCTCTTTGACAATGCATCAGACTAAGCTTGAGGCTGAGCTTCAGCAGATGGAGGAAAAATTTGAAGCAAAAAAACAGCGAATGGTAGAGTCCAGTGAAGCTTTCCAAGAAGAATTAAAGCGTCACTGCAAACCAGCAGTAGATGAAGACACTTTCCAAAAAATGGTAGTTCGAATGTATGAGGAAATGAAGAAAGAGCGTCAACGTGCAGATGACCACCCATTAGGGTCTGCCACATCCATTACAGGAGCGGCTTCACCGCAAACACTAAGCACACGCAGCGATGAAAAGCCGACTGCTCAAGCTGGGCAATCATCTAATCCGATGTCTGGTGTCGCGAGCTCAACAGGTAGAGTAAAATCTTTGAACATATTTTGTTATTGTTTAATACAATCTTTTTAGGTAAAAAAGATGCACCAACACCATCTTCCCAAATTATATCCACTCAAAAAGAGACGGTTGAGTCAGGGAGCAAAACCGACCCTGAACCTATGGATATTGAGAATCCACCTAAGCCTTCTGTTCCGCTACCCCCTAGACCAGAGGCCCCGAAAATTGCCCCTAAAACCGGAAATGAACCAATGAAAGAAGTCACTAACAAACCACAAATACCGTCTATTATAAAACCAGGGCAACATGGCAAAGTGCCAACTCCAACACCGACTCCTCCACCACCGACAATTTCTCTAGAACATTCAGTTCCCAATCAACAACAATCGGCTCCAACAGGGGTCCCAAATCTACCCTCTCAAGTGAGCATTCCACCGGCCCAAACACCACCGCCCCAATCTGCAGCCCAACAGAATCAACAGCCTCCTCAACCACAGACGGGCCAACAACCGCCGCCACAACAACAACAAGTCCCTCCTACTATGTCAATGCACCCACATCACCCACCACCTCCATCGCACACTCATTTACCGCCGCATTTGCCGCCGCATCAACCTATGTCGGCTATACCGCCGCATAGCAATTATGGGAGTTATGGCGCACCAACAGGCCCGACACGGTCACCATACTATCAACCACAATATGGAGCTCATCCCTCACAACCTTATAGTCAGTATGCTCCCTATCCCCACTATCAACAACCATATGGGCCCCCGCCCGGTTCCCATTACATGAATGCGCGTCCGCCACCACAACATAATGGATCGCCGATCCACTATCCAGAACATGGTGCGCCAGGCCAACCACAACAGCCTCATGATGTTTACGGTCAGCCATCACATCCAGCTTTGGCACAACAGCAGCCTGCAGCTGTTCCTCCAACACCAGCTGGAGTATCGGGCAATCAGGGACTGGCATCTACCGCAGTTGCTGTTAACGCTTCAGATGGAACCAAAGGCGACAGCGAAAAGAAAGACGGAGTAGCTGAGTAAACAGCGGAGCGCATTTTATGAATATTACAATTTCTATATTCTCTAAATAAGTAAACGCTTTTTACTTGGAAAATCTTAAAGTATTAGGCAATAAACTTGCTTAACAAACTTTCTATTTGTACTTAGTTTCATAAGCTCACGACGTAGACGTTCTTGTCAAATAAGCGTTTAAGCGCTGCTCATCTTGCAAAGCCTTTATGACAGTAGGATAATTGTAATGTTGGCCCTACATATTACTACCTACTCGTAATCATCACTCGACGAATTCGAGTACTCACAATTTGTGTGTCACGTTCAGAGCTATCACAGAATCCATCGTAGCTTCGATTTTCGTGAAACCTACGAAAGTGCTATCACAGAATCCGAATGGTTCGTAGCCACGAACGTAAATTCGATATTCGTAGAGAGAATTCATTGAATCCGTTCGTAATGAAGATTCGTACAGATAAACTACGACGAGTTTATGCTGTCGGAATAAAATTTAAAATCACTCGAATCTTAAAAAAATAATGTATAAAAGCTGCATTTTTGTTAATAATAAATATTATTATACTCCAAATATGTTATAGTTTGATCCAGGATGAACTCCGAAACTGACTATCCGATTTCCTTGATAAAGGGATACTTTGGAGAGATTACGATAACCGGGGCGACAAATTTTGACTTTGCCCACTTTTAGCGATCGGGGCGTTCTAGTTTTCAAGATATTTAGTGTTGAAAGTTATTTTTGAGATTTTTTTAAATATTAATATTTTATGAACTACATAACCGATTAAAAAGAGTAATGTGTTAAAATAAAGATAATTAATCTATCTTTCAGTTCATGTATCTAATTTATATTATTTTTCATATCTTAAAGCCCAAAATATTAGAAAACTAAACAAATTTCATAATTTCTTTCATAAAAT